GCCGAGGCCATCGTGCCTATGTTTGACCCTTCTCTCCTCCTCTACCTGAGGATCCCGGTCACGCACTTGACCCCGACTGAGAACTCTTGAGGATGGGGTGGAACTGGTCCCTGCAGATGGGGCGCCGCCGGTCGATCCTCGTCCCCTCCCGGCAGCAAGAGCTTGCCTCTGCCTCAGGAACCCCAGGTCAATACGAGGCGTGCTGGACATCGCGACCTCGAGGGCGTCCTCGGAGTCTAGAGATTGTAGGATTTGGAAGTCCGGCCACAAATCTCCTCCCGAAGTCCCCACCTCGGCGTCCGAAGGAACAAAGTCCTCTCTGACCCCGAGCTCTTCAACTTCTCCCTCTACTTCTGCCTCCGAAGCCCGATCAGGGTCTTCTTCCAAGTTTTCCTCGACCTCTTGCCTCGCCGCCTGATCGAAGAGTTCAGACCACCGCGAAGGCTCAAAAGGCTGAGGAAGCTGTGAAAATTTCTTATACCCGGGGGTGTAATTCAGCAGGATGTGGGCAGCCCGGCCGAACCCGTTGTCACCAGTAAATCTCCAAACCGTGACTAGGTCGGCAAAGTTCACCAGCGACCGAGGGGGAGGAGCTGTTTCCCGAGCAGGGATATCTGCACAAACAAAAAAGTAGTCATGAACATGAGAAATCTGGAGAACAAAATAATAAACCCGAAGGAACCGACGTACTTGTCGTTCTCCATTCCAAAGGGCATAACAAGCCGTTATACTCGGGACCAACACCTCTCTGCCAAGATCCCTTGAAGATAAGAATATCGTCCTTGTACCCCTTGTCCGAGTCGGGAAGATGAGTTACAAGGTACATGGAGGGGTCCCTGGCTTTGAGGTAGAAGTGTTGGTGAGGCATGACTCTCAAGAGGGAATAACAAAAAAGGAGATCGTTCAGCCCAATATTTACCCCGAGACGCCTATTGAGCTCTAAGACCCCCATAATTATTCTGAAGACATTAAGGCAACACTGCCCGGGGAAGAGGCGGAAGTGAGAGAGGAACTGGAGAAGTAAAGGGGGTAAAGGAAACCTAATTCCGCCCTCTATTATGGCCTTAGTATAAAAGGGCATAGCAATCCTCGACCCCGAGGGTAGGAGAGTGCACCATCGGGTCATAATCCTCTATGTCTACGCACGGGGGAATGCTGTACTTGACCTTAAACCTATTAATCTGCTCACCACCCTTTACTTTATACTTTTCCGACCCCGAAGAACCAGCCTGAGGATTCTCGGGAGCAGGGCGACGACGAGGCATCTCTAAGAAAGTGAGAAAGTGGAGGGTGTTTTTCCTTAAAAATCCCTGAGGAAGCTTCCCGAGGATTAGTCGCTAAGTATCAACCGGAGACACCTCCAGTCATCGGAAAACAAAAAGGGATAGGAGAAAGAGAAGAGGAAAGATACTAGGACTCACCCGAATGTCAAACGGAGTTTTTTCTGGAAAACTTTAGGCGACTCCTTCCAGAAAGTTCAGAAGCAACGATGGGTCTGCTGGCCTTAAGACTTTAAGGAAAAATGGGCAGTTGACGATGGGGGAGGAAAGAGATCTCCGACGAAGATTCAGGAAAAGGCTCTCTTGAGGAAGTTCGGAATGGCGAAACAAAAAATGGAAGAGGAACCCCATTTATATAGTGGCAGTTTCATCATTGGGTGCGAAAAACGAAAAGGCGCATTTAATGCACACGACATCCTAAGTAGGGGAAAGCGGCTCGAGGCAATGATGAAGCATTTGTGGTTGTTGGGAAACCCTTCGTCTCCTTACGACGCGTGCCCTCGGTGTCAGAAGATCGAAGGCAGGGGGATAGTTGATGGGACTTTTCTGAAATACTCCATGATGAAGACACGTGTCCTCGGTATTACCAAAACACTGTTGCTAAGATCAAGCACCATCGGCTCATAAAGGTCCCTCGCTCCCGAGGTACTCGTCATATGGGATCATGGCATTCAATACGTTTTACAACCGACACGTAGCCTCGGTCTGATATGGTACCTCGGTCGGTATACCTCCCTCGGTTCCGAGATGAGCCTTTCCTCGGTGCCGAGAGGTACCTCGTCCTGGACGCCTCCTCTGCTCCAGGATAAGCTATTGACGTACAGGTCATTAGCCTAGGCTAGTCTAGGCTATTCATCATGATCTCGTCTTACACAATTAGTGTCAGAACGTACAGGAATGCAGGGGCAACAGCCAATGGGGGATGGACGCGTGGCACATGATGTCACATCAAAGACAGAAAAACCGCATGCCGTTGCTGACACGCGACTTGGGAAAACAAACGATTAATGACACCATTCCCTTGACGAGACTGCATTCAATGCGGTAAGGCTCGGAAATGAAAGACAATAAATGTTCCTAATACAGAGCATTTATTGCATCCTCCCCGAGAAGAGTTCATTGTACCGTCGGCATCCCGATGACGCAGCATTGATTGCTCGGGACCCCGAGCAGTTAAGAAGAGAAGACATTCCTCATCAGAATCAGTGCGCACACTGCCTGTACCTAATGATCACCTACTGACTACAATGACAGCAATCATGAGCTTTTGAGGTATAAATACTCCTTGCAAAAGGCAAGACGGTATGCAACAAAAAACTCTTTACTACAATACACACTCAGTGTTTTTTTCTTCCTCTCTCTCTCTCAAAGACTGACTAGATCGTCGGAGGGGATACGCCGAAAAATACTCCGGCGCCCTTCTAACTTGTTCTTCTTTGTTCCAGGAACCTTTCTTCAGCCTTACTGGATCGTTCTTCCGCTCCCCCAGGGTCTCCCGTTGCCGTTCCAGGTTACCACCGGACCTCGCAGGCTGTTCCAAGCAGCGTGATTGGTCACTCAACTGACTCACTCGAGTTCACCAAGGGAGAGATCTGTTCTCGTTTTTATATTGTGCAGGATCGTGCACGCACAATTTGATATAATCCATATATTTATAATGATGTTACTTATATATTCCAAATAGATTACCAACATTTATTTCCACTTTAAAAAAAAGAAATACAAAATTAATCAAATTTAAAACATAGTGAAAACATTTCAGGCCCGTTGTTCAAAGGATATATTCATAAAGAAATACAACAACTAATTAAATAACATTATTTGATATAATTTTTGTCAAAAACTAATTAAATTAAAAAATATAGTGAAACATTTCCGACTTGCTGTTCAAAGGATATATTCATAAACAAATATATAAAATTAATTAAATAGAATTATTTGATATAATTTAGTATATTTATAATAATGTATTTAATATTATGCTAAACAAATATCAAACATTGATTTCCACTTCAAAAAAAAATACAAAAGCCAATTAAATAACGTTATTTGATATAATCTAGTATATTTGTAATAATGTTATTAATATACTACCAAACAAATTATTAAACATTAATTTTCACCTCAAAAAAGAAAGACGAAAACTAATTAAATTAAAAATATAGTGAAACATTTCAGATTTGCCGTTTAAAGGACATATTCATAAAAAAATACAAAAACAAATTAAATAATATTATTTGATATAATTTATTATGTTTATACTGATGTTATTAATATACTACCAAACAGATTAGCAAATATTAATTTTCACCAAAAAAAAAAAGAAATACAAAAACTAATTAAATATGTAACATGTCTAAAACTTTTAATAAATACATGAGGGCATTAGCAAGACATAATCTACTCCGAGGCATTAGATAAAGTCGAGGCTCAGCTGATGTAGAATAAATATCCAATCATTTGAATAATACTTTCTAGGTACATATCTCTTTTTTAAATATTCTTTGATTTTGGTGTGGGAAGAAAGCAAAAATTTTACATGTTATTATTCAACAATATTTTTTTTAATATGTAGGTGCTTATTTTGAGGATAAGGGTAATAGAGATAATTTTAGTGACGTGCCGTAGTACCTTTATTTTTATGAATGTCATATATTTGGGTTAATTAGTTTTAAACATATTTATCTTTAGAGACTTTTTATTTTGTCATTTATAGTTGAATTTTTATGTTAAATGAATGACTATGCAGCATATTTTTCACTTTGCTGATAGTTGGTAAGTTTTTACTTTCATTAATATTGAGTAGACGAACACCTCTGATCAAAAAAGAAAAAAGAAGTTGACGAACACTTGGTAGTGCATTGCACGGGGTTTTATTAGTACAAAAGATATAAAAGTTAAAAAAATTTAAAATACTTAAATATAGTTAAAAAAGGTTATAAATAATTAAATAAAAAACTATAACATATTAACGATAGAACTTATAATAATCATTAATAAAACACAAAATCTTACCCCTTCTCTCTGTTAACTTCGGGCGCTTCCCCACGATATTTGTATGCTTGATTAGAAAATATGGGATATGGAGAGAGATTAATTTATGTATATCAATATTTATATAATAAAGTAGCTATATTGTCTGTCTTGAACTTTTGGCGTCTCAGTTCGTTTTAATCCGATGGTCTTAATTTGATATTCATTCTTTTTACCACTATAAAACTCTCATATTTTGTATAGCTCTCTCTTTCTTATAATATTATCTTTTTTTTTTTGTTTTTCCTGTGTTGTTTTTGTTATTACTTTCTCCATAAAACAAGTAAAACTACATGTTATGCAATTATTTATTCCATGAAACTAATTAAAATTTTTTTAATATCTGATAGCATGTATTGTGTCACTTGCTTCTTAATTTGTAAATAATAGTTAATGTAAATAAAAAATAGTAGATTGATTATAAACACTACCTTAAATTGTAAATTAATATATAATTTGATCAAAAATGAAGGAAATGAAGCTGGCTGGGAAGACAATTGACTGGTTCTTTTAGACCAAGAAGCTCAGTGGTATCAATCGAGCGTCAAAAAAGGCGATCTTTGAGGCTGTGACAGGTTTGGGAGAGGAGCTATTACTGTAACTGGTAAGGGTTTTGAATTGGGGTTCCTAGATAAAAGAAGTGTTGCTTGTTTGGTCATGGATTACTCTGATTAGGGTTCGATTTTGATGAACATTGTCGATGATGGTTCGACAAACTATGGATACTATCCCAGATTAAATTTCAATTGTGTTAACATGTTGAGATTTGTGAATCTTGGATCGTTCCTTTCAGTGTTGGGGGAATTGGGTTCTGTGTCGTTTGATAATTTGCATACTGGTTCAGCCATAGCCAAGTTGTTGGATTTGTTGGGTTCTCAATTCTCGTTCAAACCGATTACTAGGTTCCCCTCGTTGGAATTGTATGTGTGTCTGGATAGAGGTCCGGTCCTTGGAGAGATCGCGATCATGTTGCGTGTACTAGCAACTCCAAGTCGTTTGATGACGGAGAGTTCAATAAAAGAGTATTTCTCTTCGGTGGAAAGGTCAGTACTGTGTGTTACTCAGCTGGAACAGCCTGTGGAACCCAGAATCGTGTTTAATCGAAAGGTGTTTGAACAAGAATTCAAACTTGGTTGGAAGCCTGATCGGGGAGACAATAGCCCAGTTTACATATAAGATGACGTGGTATCACCAACTAATAATAATAATAATAAACTGTCTTCCTGAGTGTAGATGGTCGAGAATCCTAGGCTGGCAGAGTTAAGTTGATGACTGGCTTTGGTTGTTCAGCAAGCAATGTGTGATGTATTGCTTTGTTTTATCTTGTAAGAAGTACAAGTGTTGTGTTGTTTTTTATACTTGAATCTAACTCCGATGGTTGAAAGATAAGATACATGGAGGCTGTGTTTTTTGTTATAGGTGTTTATGCTTTTCCCTTTCTTCTAAGTGCCATATTTTCCTATCAATAAATAATCAGTTTGTTTATTAAAAAAAAGGAAAAAGAAAAAAGGGAAAATAGAACTTTACAAAATCAATAATACTAGTTGGATCTAATTTGTTAACAAACTTAACTAATCTAGTTTATCGCAACTATTGGATTAACTGTAAGTTTCAACGAATGATCGGGATCAAATTCAATGAATATAAATGATTTGGTCAATAATTAACTTAATAAATTAGGTTCAAATAATATTTTTCTTACAAAAATGAATCTCATGTGAACTATAGTAACTGAAATATCAGCATGGGTTTATATGTTTCACTCCTTATAGCATCTCCAAGATAATGACTAAAACTCCAAAATAGCTAAAATTTAGTTATTCAAAAACAAAAAATATGCTCCAACAGAAACGTTCAGAGTAAGTAAAATACATTTTTGTTACAGTAATACTCTATATTTAGAGGATCACTATAGCATTATGTATAAATAATTTATAATATATTCTCTCTATTCTTGTTATTTCCCACCTCTCTTGTCCACTCTTTGTTTTTCTCTCCATTTTGTTCTCTTTCTCTTTCTCTCTCTCTAAGGGCATCTCCAATTGATCATCTAAAATGCACAAAATCTTTAAATTTTAGCTATTTAGCCCAAAAATTCTATTCTAATAGATTATCTTCAAAATATCAAAAATAACATTTTGCTAAAGTGAAACTCTATATTTAGAGTATCATTGTAGCGATATGTAAAATTTTTTTATAATATTTTCTCTCTCTTCCTCTCATTTTTTCCATTCTTTTTTTTTCTCTCTTTCACTATTTCCAAAAAAAAAAAAATAATACAAAAAATGATAAATAATATTTAAAAGGAGTAGTTAAAAATATATAAAATCTGTTGGAATGTGTAGTGAAAAATGAGTAGTAAAAAAGTAAGTAGTTAAAATAGAAAATGTTGCTTTTTAAGTAGCTAAAATAACTTTTGTTGTTGGAGATGTTCTTAGATCACATTAGGGTGGGAAGGGAAGGGCAAAAAAAATAATTTGAAGTTACATGCACTTTCCCCTGTACAAGTTTATATTGTATGTTGGGCATAAATGATGAGAACTCTATGCTACTAAACAAAGATAATTTGAAATTATTTACTTCAACATATGTATACATCAACTAGATACAAAAAAAAAAAAAAAAAAACTTCTATGTTTTCTGTCAAATGTAAATACCTTGTCCATCCTAATCTTCTATTTCCAACTTTGTGCTACAGCTAGGCATGTATAGGTTTGATAAATATTATGATTTCTTTTTTTCTTTTCCTCCTTCTTGCTTTCTAGTAAAATTTTAACCAGCTAGTGATTTACATAGTTTTTGACTTTAGGATGTCAATTATATAGAGAATGAGCATATGCGGTGGTCACTTCTAATATGTGATGATTATCCAGTAAAGCTAGTGTTTTTATGGCGGTAAAAGAAAAGAAAAGAAATGTAGTAGGAAGAGAGAGAAAGTAAATAAAAATAGGATAAATTACACAAATAGTCCCTCAGGTTTGTCACTCATCACACTTTGGTCCTTAAAGTTTTAATTTCGTCATTTTCATCCCCAAAGTATAAACATTGAGTCAATCTAGTTCTTAACACTAACTGACGTTATAAAAATTAATGAAAAATACTATGTGCCAGTCACATGCAGATTTTAAGGGCCATTTTGGTACTTTATAATAAGTCATGCATCCAAACATTATTATTCTCTATCGGGCAATATTAAACTCACACCCAAACATGCATCTTCTTCCTTTTTTTTTTTTTTCCTCTCTCACATAGTCTTTGCACCTCTCTCTCTTTCTCCCCATGCTTGGTTATATCCCTCAAACCCATAATTCTTTTATCTCTTTGGGTTTGTTTAGGTGGATTTTTGGGAATGGTTTGAATTGAATTCTCTAAACCTTTTCAAATCCAAATCTCTCTTTACAAAGATGAGATTTAACATTGAATCCAATCTATACCCATGTTTGGTATGCAATACATACACATGTAGGACTTACGAATATATCATAATTATTAATAACTATTTGTTCTATAAATAACTATTTTACCATTGATCAATCAAATTTATACCCAACGTTAGGGGTACAATTGTCTTTTGCATCCTTAATCCATCTTCTCAAACCCACCCCCTCTAAGTTTGAAGAAACTGATGATCATGAGTACAATATTCAAGTCAGCTGCGGGTCGATTTTGGGAACTCATGATTGCATATTTAATCCAAACATGAAATTTGGGGATATCTGTATCTCTCTCCAATTTCATCTCTTAGCACCTTTCTCCCTCTAAAACTCTCTTTGTCTCTCAAGTCCTAGCACCCACACAGTGCACGCATACAACACAAACTCACAAACGCACACATAGAAGCCTGACACAAAACAACACAGACCCGCTTTTTTTTGTTTCTCTATCTCTACACCTCCCAGTATTCAATTAGACCTCGACCTCACACAAACAACACATCCCTTTCTCTCTCACCCACATGGCAGTAAAGGTGTTGGGCTTGCCTTGATGCTGGGGGGGGGTTGAGTTAAATGCACTACCTCATTTTTCTAGGCCACCATTGCCATCAAGCTCCAATTCATCGCATTGCCCTAGAATGTCTCACTAATCGGATTCATGTTCCCAAAGCTGAATTGAAGAATAATTAGGTATGAATTGGTTTGGGTGTTTTGACTATGATTGTGAAATTCTCTCTAACTCTCTATTTCTTTCTCTCTCTCTAAAATTCTATGCTTTTCTCTTTGAAATGTCTGTGGGTAGTTGATGTTCGATTTTTATAGTGTCTTGTGGGAGGCGACAGTGGTGTGTTGCAGGCGTGTGGTGGTATAGGTGGTGGTGGCTTATAGACCACAATGGAAAAGGTGGGGGTAATGGTGAATCGATGGCCGAAAACGGCCAAAGGGACTTTCGTAAGTCAGAAAGAAGTGTTGAGTGAATAGGATGAGATTGAATGTCTTAAATAGTACTTGGGGCCTTGATTTATAATGGTAGGGAAATGTATCCCAAAGGAACCTGAACCCTAGATTGATTGGCTCAACCTTGTCACCACGTCCCAGAAGTTCATAGCTGAGGTAGACTAGGACTCTTGGTCCTCGGTCCTTATAACTAGCTCTTGATTGCTCGGAGTAGCATTTTACCTCGACTCTACCTTTTTGGTGCCCCATCACCAGCTCCTAAATACTCAAAGTGGTATTAGATTAGGACTCTATGTCCTAGGTTAATCTTTCACCGAGTAGGACTCATCTAGAGGAAGTGAGCATGTATGAGGGATTACAATAGCTTGGATGGAGTTATGGTAGCTGACCTATAGTAGCTTTGAGTACCAAGTGTGGACGAGTAAGGACTTGCCCAAGCGAGTGCCGTCTGGCTGTTGCCAACCAAACCAGTTGTCGAATGGCAATGCCCAGCCAAGGTAGCTTATCGACTAGTAGTGGCCAGCTTAGAGAGTTTACTGACTGACAATGGACTCAAGTGTGTGCCGAATGACATTTACTCCTAATGCCTCATACATATGGTGGCTGCTGATGGTCGGGGTGGGGAGTTGCAAGGGCAGCCGATTTTGGGTGAGGTTTCTACAAGTTGGGTTGAAGGATCTAAGGAGAAAATGGGAGAATGGTGTTTGTTTTTTGTTTGACATTTTTGCCATTAGATTTGCTTGCAAAATGCTAGAAATACCCTTGAAAATATGCATGTGACCTTCACATGACATTTTTCGTCAATTTTTGTAATGTCAGTTAGTGTCAAGGATTAGATTGGTTCAATGTTTGAATTTTGAGGATAAAATAGATGAAATTAAAATTTTAAGGATTAAAGTATGATAAGTGGTAAACCTGTGTGACTATTTATATAATTTACCCATGAGAATAAGCAGTGGGGTGCAGCATGATGGAGGGAGGACTAAAAAAAGAAAATAAAGAAAGAAGCAAAGTAGGGTGAACTGTGTACAATTGGTCCTTGTGACCAGTTATTGACTTCTTCTGATTTGTAAAGATTTGCAAATCTTATCACCACAGGACGGTAAAAGAAAAAAAAGGAAGAAGCGGAGAGAAAAAAAAAAAAAAGAGAGAGGGAGTGACAGTGAAAGTTGATAAAAGAAAGAAAAAAAAGGAAAGGTCATGTACACAAAATTGCATATCTCTATATTATATGAGCTCGTTTAGTTGCTCTATTAGAAATGGGTGCATTGAATAATATAATACAGTCTAATACAATACAGATGAATAAAAAATAAAATTAAATAAAGTAGTAGAATAATACATGATTGTATCTAGTATTTAGTAATATACAATATAAGCATTGAATAATAGTTATTTAGTCCAATCGGTGTGTTGTTACATTGATTGAATTATAATACCACATCTCTCGGAGATATTAAAATATCTCTAGAATACAGGTTATCGTATAAAATATATGTGATAAGTATACATTTTTTAATAGAGTAACAAATTTGTTTACCAAACAAAGTATTAGACTCGATTACATAAAAAATAATATAATTTAATATTTAATCTCCTCATAATAGGTCTACTAAACGAACCCTATGTGAATGTATCTACAAATAAGGAGAGACCCCCAAACTTCAATTCTTTTTTTGTTGAATTTTTAACTTCTTAATTTTAGAAAAATTTGCTTGATTTTTTTTTATAATATCTTATTCTCTTTTTAAATTCTACTTATCCTCTTTTTAAATGTTACTTATCTCTTTCTTTTTTTAAAATATACTATCTTCTTTTAAAACTCTCGACTCTCACACGGCAAAAGAGACCTCTAGCAAATAAGATATCCTCTTTTTAAATTCTACTTTTTCTCTTTTTAAAAAATATCATACCTTCTTTCTAAAGTCTGCCCGACTCATAACCGGCAAAAAAAACCATATGCCACTTTATCTCTTTTAACTACAATACCATATCACTAGTATATGCCTGTGCCTGAAGGCACAGAGTAATAAAAAAAAATTGTCAATTAAAAGGTATATCAAATAAAAAAATGCTGAGAACATTGAAAAATATACATTCCATTACACCAAAATCTATTATTTCTTCAATCAACCACATGTTCAACAACATTACTATCAATAACATCTGTACCTAAGACTGAAAGTACAATTGCATTTTCCCCCCACCCCGGAAGAAAAAT